TGTATGGCTCGGGACCATATTCCTTTTCTGCTCCTGACATAACAAACGACCACAGACTTATTGCCTTAAAATGGCACATGTATTTTCTTACGGTCCTGGCAGGCAGAAACCCAAAATCGGTCTCCTGGGCTACATCCAGGTGTGGCCAGGCGGGCTCACCTGAGGCTCCAAGGGAGAGGTGGTTTCTTGCCTCTTCTGGAGGCACCCACACTCCTCGTGAGCCTCCCCCTGACTCCCAGCCACCCCTGCGGCGACCTCCCTCCCCTCCCTTGCTAGGACCCCTGCGACATCAGGCCGCCCAGGCCGCCCCGGGCCATCCCAGGTCCCTGCATCTGCCGCTCAGTCACATCCACAGGTCCCTCCACAGCACGGGGTCAGCACACCCCGGTTCTGGGGCCATCATCAGCCCACAGCTGGGGCGGACTTCATGTTCCTGAACATGCATATCCGCCCCCACTCCACTTACTCATCAGACCACCTGACCCTAAATGCCACTTCGCTCTGCTCTCGGGCCATCGCTGGGCTCTCCCGCCTGCCCCGCGCCACTGTCCCCGTGCTCTCGGGGAGCCCAGCCAGGCCCCACCCCCCTCTCCTCCCCAAGTGCCTGTGGCCCTGCCCTGTGTGCGTCCTGGGGTCTGCTGTGGTGTCAAGGGGCAGCGGCTGGGTTTCCTCAGGGTCCCGGTTCACCCTTCTTTCTAGAAACCCTCCCCTAAAGGAAGAAGCTGGTCTGACCCGGGAGCCAGGTGAGCTCCCAGACCTCCGGCAGACCTGCCCTGGGCGGTCTGTGTGGGGACCGGGGAACGCAGGGCCGTGAAGTGGTCCTAGATGGGCCAGGGTCCTCTGGGGCTGTGCAGGGGGCCGGTCCAGTGGACAGGATTTCAACGTCACGAGAGGCGCGGGTCAGTGAGTACAGCAGGACAGGACGCCCAGGAGGAAACAACAGGAGCCCCCAAGGGAGAGGGTGTGCCTGGGGCCGACAGGTGACGGGGCAAAAGGGACCCCAGCCACAGGCCGCGCTGAGGCTGGTGCAGAGTGGTCGGCATCGGGGACGGGACAGGCCCCGTGCTGAATGCCCAGCGGCCGCCGCAGAACAGCCGTCCCAGGTGGGGCACCTCCTGCGGCCTGCAGCGCCCTCTGCCGACAGGAGCCGAGCTCGGCTGCCCATCCAGGGGCTTGGCAACTTGCGGCTGACGCAGCTGAGGGAGAGGCAGGGGGAGCCTCCGGCCAAGGAAGAGGCACCCCCTGGCTTGAGAGGCCTGGCCAGAGGCAGTGCGAGGGGCTGTAGCCGCCTCACCCTGCAGGATATGCGCGGCCGGGGGGCTTGGAGGGCGCGGTCCCCGAGGGCCCTGGCTGCCTCTGGGCCTCCAGTCGCCGGAGGACCTGTCTGGTCCCCTGGGAACGGTGCACAGTCCCTGGGACTGGCCAGGAGTCGAGGGGGGTGCGTCGCCTGGGGGCACCCATAGGGGCCTCACCCCCGGTGCTGACAGCTCAGCCATGCCGCCCCTTTGTCTTCCTCGGGACGCCAGAGGGACCAGCTCTGCCGCTGCTGAGCCTGCTGGAGCAGAGCGAGCCTCCCGCCGTTCCAGTCGCAGGGCCCCCGCCTCTGTGCCGCCTCATGAGTTAAAGGGACCTCGTGGCGGGAATCCCAGGCTCCTTGTCTGCCTGGAGGGCGGAGGCATGGCTCGGGGGGAAAGTGGCTTTCTGCAGGTTCTGAAGGGCTTTGGGCCTAGTCAGCGCTGGGAGCAGAACCACAGACGGCCGTGGGCCAGGACCGTGCCAGGCCAGGTCCCCAAGCACACGCTCAGCTGGGGCATTCTCCTCCAGCCATTAAAAGCAAGGGGATGTTTTCCCTACAGTTTTGTCTGGCTTTGCTCACCGCCCCACTTTGCGTGCTGGGCTGGACCCCTGAAGGGCTCCTCCACTCCCCTTCTGTACACATCAGCAGGAACAAGCCCCCTCGCTCAGGCCGCCGGGCCAGGCTCGCCGTCCCTCCCCCTGCCCCTGCAACCCTGGCCCTCTTACGCCTGCTGGGGGCTGGCTTCGTGGGACGCAAGCCCTGCTCGGAGCCCCGGCGCCCCGGGGACAGCACGCAAGCCTTTGCCGTCGATGCGGCTCAGCGGATCAAGGAGAGTCCAACTGTGCCTAGTTTGCTGAGATTTCTTATGACAGATGTGTGTCAAATTCTGTCAAGTGTTTTTACTGCGTCTATAAGATAATCACATGGAGTCTCTTTATTGCATTTCCATGATGAGCTACTTCAATTTTATGAGTAACACACTTTGCATTTCTGCGATAAATCTTACCTGCCGTGATGTTTTCTCCTGTTGGTATAAAGTCCTCAATTCCGTCTGCTGATTCGCTGTCAGAGGGGCAGGGGTCTGTGCTCACTGGCGTTCACATGTCTCGGCTGGTTTTCAGACCAGCTCCCACTGTCCCTCAGATGGAGTCAGGAGGTGCCCCTCCTTCCTTTTCTGGAAAAGCCCATAGAAGATGGATTCATGTCATCTCTTCCTTGGACGTGGGACCAGATTCCCCAGTGACACTCGAGGGGCCTGGAAGTTTCTCTGTTAGATGTTTGTGGATATTGGAATCAACCTTTTTACCAGATAGAGAGTATTCAGATTTCCTAATTCTTATCTCGCTTTTGCTAATTTATATTTTTCTCAGGGAATTTATGACTTTCATCTAAGCTGCTGAGGTGTTGGCAACGGCTCGTCTTCGCCCTGGGGAGGCGGGGGGTCTGCATCGCCCTCTTCTCCATCCCGTGAGGTGTGAGCGCAGGGCTGTCCGTTTGCTGCGGACGTCCACTCTGGGCTGGGGGGTTTTCTGCACTGCTTGTGGTCTGCTCTCCTGCTCGTCCTCTCCTTCCGTCTGGGGGCTCTGCGCTTACTTGGCTCTCTTCTGCCTTGGCGCGTGGAGCCCGGGCCACGAACGCCGGGCCTCCCTGCTCGTCCCACAGAAACATTCGTTGCGGTCAATGTTCCTCCGAGCCCTGCTTCAGCTGCCTCCCAGAAATATGTTGTTTTCCTTTCTCGTTTTGTTTAAAATATTTTCTAAATTCCCTTAGGACTTCTTCTTCGACCCATGAGTTATTTAAGAAATGTGTCGTTTCGCTTCCAAGTATTTGTGCTTTTCTCAGTTACCTTGTTGTTACTGATGAATTGGACTCCATGGAGGTCAGACCATACACGCTGTGTAATCGCAACCCTGGTAACGCGACCCAGGCTCGTTCCACGGCACACACGTCGTCCACCACGCGAGCGGACCACGCGCACATGGCGGGAACGAGCGCCGCCAGCTACTGGGCGTGATGTTCCAGGAAGAGCTTTGAGGCAAAGGGAGTCCTACTGTTGCTCAAATCTTCAGTGTCTTTACCACCAAGAGAGGGCGTCCAGATCGCCGACCGTTATTTTGATTGTCTGCTCCGACCTGTGATTCTGTCCTCGTTTGCTTCACGTAGTTTGAGTCTCTGGCCCCACGCACGCACAGCCGCTGGGCCCTCCTGTGGGCTGTGCTGACTCCGAATAAAACGGGCTCTTTATCTCCTTCTCCGGAGTCCGTCTTCCGGTGTCAGTGCCCGCACAGCCTCTCTGCGTCCCCTCCGCGGACCAGCAGCGGCCCGCCTCTGCCCGCGCCAGGGCCTCCGGTCCAGGACGTCGGATGGACTTAAGTCTCCGTTTTAACCACCTGTCCACTGGGTTTCTGGTTTTACTTCTTCTTTTCCTTCTGCTCCTCCTTTCCTCTCCTATTTTTTTCTTTTGGATTATTTTAATATTTTTCTACATTTCATTTTAATTATCTATTAGCCCTTTGCCTATTAATTTTTCATGTTGCCTTAGGGATCAAAGTCCACGGACTCTTCCCTGTATCTTTGGTGTGAGAGTCACACTAGTTCATGTAAAGTGTGCGCCCCCCCCCCCACCATCTTGGTGCCAAAGACGCGGCGTCTATCAGTCAACATGTGTTAGTAACTCCACTAGGCAGCATTAGAATTCTTTCTTCAAGCAATCATATGTATTTTTTTTTTAATTAAGAGAAAACAAAATGTTCTATGTTTGCCCTAATAGTTAGATTTCTGACGCTCTCCATTCTTTGGGGCAATAGCTCTTCAGCATGAAGGACGAAACTGAGCATTTCTTGAAGGTCAGCTGGTGACAAATTCGCTCAGTTTTATTTTTGTCAGAAAATGTCTGTTTGTCCTGTTCTGAAGGACATGTTCTCTGCATATAGAATTCTGGGAGGCACAGGGCCCCCAGGGGTCACCCTGCTCCCGCCCATGGACCCGGGACCATGGCATTCCCCTCATCAGGGACAAAGAGCCATTGGACCATTAGGGTGTTTGGGGCATCCAGGAGGGTGGCACCCCCTTCCGGTGGTCATCTGCAAGCTGGCCCCACGGCCACCGCGACCCTCACTCGTTCGGACCAGCATGCTCTGTGGCCAGGCACCCGGGGCAGGCGTCTGTGGCCTGTGTGCTTGGCGGTCCCTCACATTCCTGAGATCCGGCCCCAGTGGGTCGGACACTAGACACCAGAATGCCCTCAGATGGCGCTGCTGGCTGAGGCCCTGCTAGCAAGAAGGTCAGGCCATGCCCAGAGTGGGTGCCAACTCCCGTCCAGACTGTTCGCTGTCCGGGGGGGGGCGGTCAGAGGCCAGATGTGTCCCAAGCGGCTGAGAAGCCAGGCTGCCAGGTAGTGCCCAAAGTTGTGAGGGGGTGGGGAGGGAGGGGGGATGGGTTGGGGGACAGGAGAGGAGGGGAGGGCCGGGGAGGGGTGGAGGAGGGATCGGATGGGGGAGGGGAAAGGAGGGAGATGGGGAGGGGAAAGAAGGGGAAGGGAGGGGGTTAGGTGGGGGGAGGGGGAGGCCCGGCTCTGGCAGGGGCTCCTCTGGGGGGGTGGTGCTGTCAGGACACAGGTCCCCCCTTTGCCCAAGCTGCTGGAGGCCACCTTGGGGGCCCGGGTGGGCCTCTCAGGCACCGAGTGGGCCTTCTGCCCTCACAGGTTCTACCTTATCAGCGGAGGGGTTCCCTTCATCATCTGCGGGGTCACAGCCGCCACGAACATCAGGAATTACGGGATGGAGAATGAGGACATGCCCTAGTGAGTACTGGGCACCAAGCGGGTGGAGGCTCCTTCCCAGTGCCCTGCGCCTCCCCATGCCCGGGCCACCTCGCTGTGGGGGTGCCCAGCGGGACTGCCCTCCCCCCCAGCAGACCCCGTCTCACCGAGCCCCCCTCCCTGGGCGCTATGGGCTGCTGCTCAAGGCGGCTGCACCCCAGGACCAGCTCAGGGTATACACAGCCACACACAGCACCCAGAGCTCCGGCCCCTCCAGTCGTGCCCCCCAGGCCAGCGCCCTCCTGGCCCGCCCACCCCAGGCTCCTTCTCCTCGGTTGCCCCAAAAGGCCAAGCCTGCGGGACACACCGGCTCTGCTCCCTCGGGGCTCCAGCACTGGGGACACTGAGGCAGGGAGGAAAGGCAGAGCGGTGCGCAGCCAGCCCCCCAGAGCCCAGATGCCCACCACGCTGTCCCGGCCCCGACAGGACGGGCGGGCGTGTCTGTGTCTGTCTCCTCACCACGACTAAACTCACGCACCGCAGAGAGCGTCCTCCCGTGACCCCAGGACGGCCAGGCGCTCAGCCCCAGCGCGACCCCTCACTGACGCCCCTCTTCCCGCAGCTGCTGGATGGCCTGGGAGCCCAGCCTGGGCGCGTTCTATGGGCCGGCGGCCTTCATCACCCTGGTCACCTGCGTGTACTTCCTGGGCACCTACGTCCAGCTGCGGTGCCACCCAGAGCGCAGGTACGAGCTGAGGGCGCGGCCAGAAGAGCCCCCGCGGCGGGCCGGGCCCGGGGCCGGCCACAACCCCGGGGCCCGGCCGGGCTCGCCGGCCGCCTCGCTGCTGCAGAACGAGCACTCGCTCAAGGCCCAGCTGCGGGCCGCGGCCTTCACGCTGGTCCTGTTCACGGCCACCTGGACCTTCGGGGCGCTGGCCGTGTCTCAGGGCCCCTTCCTGGACATGGTCTTCAGCTGCCTGTACGGCACCTGCTGTGTGACGCTGGGGCTCTTCGTGCTCATCCACCACTGCGCCAAGCGGGACGACGTGTGGCACTTCTGGTGGTCCTGCTGCCCCTCCCGCGGGGACGCCCCCTCCTCAAAGCTCGCGGCCCGCCCCGCGCCCGGCACCGACGGGGACGCCCTGGCGCGCGTGGCCTGCCTGCGGGACGCGCCGTGTCCGGCCAAGCCGCGGGCCTCCGGCCACTGCACGGTGGCCAACCTGCAGGCTGCCCAGAGTCGCGTCAGCTGCCGGTCACCAGCCACGCCATGCTGCACCAAGATGCACTGTGAGCAGCTGATGGAGGACGCGGCGCACGTGCACGTGCACGAGGAGGACGCCTTTGGGCCAGACCCGCATCCGCACAGGTGTCTCCAGGGCAGAACTAAGGCTCCGCACTTCAGCCGGCACCGGGCAGCCTCGGCGGAGCAGGGATACGCCTACCACATCCCGTCCAGCCTGGACGGCAGCCCCCACAGCTCGCGCACAGACAGCCCCCCCAGCTCGCTCGAGGGCCCAGCGGGGGCGCACACGCCGGCCTGCTGCGCCCAGGGCGACCCCTTCCCCTTGGTCAGCCAGCCCGAGGGCAGCGACACCAGCCCCGTGCTCTATGGCTGCCCCCTGCGGCCAGGCAGGGCGTCGGCCCACGGCCCAGCGCACTTCGAGATGCTCCGGAGGACACAGTCCCTGCCCTTCGGTGGACCCGGCCAGAATGGGCTGCTCAAGGGAGACATGTGTGAAGTCCTGTCCTTCAGTGCCAATGGCGTGGGCAATATCCGGACAGGGCCGTGGAAGAACGAGACCACTGTGTAGCTGGGCCGGGCCTCACGTCACCCAGCCCTGACGGACGAGCTCCAGAGCAGAGCGGGGTCCTGCCACGTGAGGCCAGCGGGGGCTCACTTCTCAGAAGCAGCCAGCACCCCCACTGACCCTGTGCTGTGAAGGACCCAAGCGGGAAGATGCTTTGGGCCACGTCTGCTCCTGCTAATCCTGAGGCCACACGGGCCGTCCGTGTCCCAGTCACCGGCTTTCTGACCCATAGTCCCCAGTCCCCAGGGCAGCCCAGGACCAGAGCAGGGGTTCTATCAGGAAGAAACCCCCCGCACCCTGTGTGGGCCATAGGGAGGCCTGGGGTGCATCCCGTCTGCCCACAGCAGAGGTGCCACCCACTTTTTCTAGTGTCTAGTGTGTGTCTCATGAAATTTCATTCCAAGGCACAGGCAGGATGCCCGTCGGGACAGGGGGCTCTGGACCTGGGCTGTCACCGCTGGCCCCTCTGCCTGCCCGTGTCCGAGTCAGGGGGCCCGCGTCACCACCTCCACCTTCAGCGGCCCCCTGGGCGCGGCCCCCACAGGCCTGAGAGCGTCACGGACGCTGGGGCCTGTGCCATAATCCAGGTGCACGTGAGAAGAGAAGCAGCCTGTGACAGTCCTCCGGGGCGCCGGCCGGGCTCTTTGAGGGGCCCTGTGCCTTCAGAAATGCCCAAATGTCCTTCAACAGACTCGACTGTCAAAGCCAGCCACTGTCGGGACCGTACCCCGCCCAGCACGGTCATCTGGGGCTCTAACATCCCAGCCCTGAGAAGCGGGGGGCCGGCACTCCCAGGAGCATCTGGGCACGAAGTCCCGACTCGGAGGACAGTTGTGCGTTAGAGTGAGCTGTGTATGAAGCACGGGGTTCGTCCCGCGGGCGAGCTCCACAGGTCCCCGCGGAGGCAGAGCCCGGACATCCGGAGGAACACATGTGCGAGACTGTGCACGGCCATTCCTCCCTCCCCCCTCCCAGATCTGTGGCACACGTGCAGACCGCACGTGTGCATGTGCCACATATATGCACACGTGCATCGTGTGTGTCTCCATGCTTGCACATGTGTGCACACACCATACATACGCCGTGCACACGTGTGTGTGCGTGCACGTGTGTGTGCACACACGTGTGTGCACACTCGACACACCGTGCACACACAGAGCCGGCATTTTCCAGACATTTGAGCACGAGTTTCATTGCCCTGCACAGATGTCATCTCTGTGACTCCTCAGTGTTCTCCACTGTCTGGGGGAGGGGGCTTCACCAGGAGCAGACCCTTCCTAACGCACACCTCGGGGGAGGGGTTGCAGACCCTTCCTAATGCACGCCTCGGGGGAGAGGGGGGTGCAGACCCTTCCTAACGCACGCCTCGGGGGAGAGGGGGTGCAGACCCTTCCTAACGCACGCCTCGGGGGAGGGGGTGTGCAGACCCTTCCTAACGCACACCTCGGGGGAGGGGTTGCAGACCCTTCTTAACACACGCCTCGGGGGAGAGGGGGGTGCAGACCCTTCCTAACGCACGCCTCGGGGGAGAGGGGGTGCAGACCCTTCCTAACGCACGCCTCGGGTGGGAGGGGTTGCAGACCCTTCCTAACACACGCCTCGGGGGGGAGGGGTTGCAGACCCTTCCTAACGCACGCCTCGGGGGAGAGGGGGCTGCAGACCCTTCCTAACGCACGCTCGGGGGAGGGGGGGTGCAGACCCTTCCTAACACACACCTCAGGGGAGGGGTTGCAGACCCTTCCTAACGCACGCTCGGGGGAGAGGGGGGTAAAGACCCTTCCTAACGCACGCCTCGGGGGAGAGGGGGGTACAGACCCTTCCTAACGCACACCTCGGGGGAGGGGTTGCAGACCCTTCCTAACACACACCTCGGGGGAGAGGGGGGTGCAGACCCTTCCTAACGCACCCCTCGGGGGAGAGGAGAGGTTTTGGGTGTCCCAGGGCCAACGCTCAGTATCTGAGCACAAGGAGCCTTGCTTCCAGGGATTCTTGTAAACCTGACAATGTCCCGTGCCCGCCACAAACCCATGTGTCCTCACAGGTCAACCCGACGGTGACCACCAGGCAGTCTCTGTCTCTGTGCAGCCTGTCCGCCTGCTCCCGTAGCCGATAGGAACCGGAGACCCGACGCTGTGCTGTGAACACCTGTAGATGCAGAACCGTCAGACAAAATACAGTATTTTGCACTGTTTGCCCTTTGTGAGGCTGGTTAATGGCATCCACGTGCGTCTCTCGTCCTCGATGGGGGCAGGCCCACCTCGGTGCGTGGCTCCGGCTTCTGCACAGGGTCCCAGGGTGGGGCCGGGGAACCCAGAGAGGCTGCTCCACCCGGACACTCGGGCTCCCTAGCCCCTGGCCCACCGACAGAGCAGAGCACACCTCATCATTCAAACCAAAGAAATCCAGCACTAAATATTAAACCTCATGTGTTTCAGTATCGATTCAGCCTCCAAAGTCCACTTGGGACAGCGTGGTGACCCCATTGCCACTTCGTGCTGTGTTTTCAGAGCATCCAGTCCCCAGCATGCACACCACACAGACACACTGCCGGGAGGATGTGGGCTGGAGGTCGGAGCCACACCACGTGTCTCTGGTGTTGTGGCGAGTCAACTCCTTCCCTGGCGTGTGTGTGTGTGTGGACACATGTGTGTTATCTATGTATGTGCATTCTGTGTGTTGTCTGCATGTGCATGTGTACGTGTGTGTTATCTGCGTGTACGTGTGTGTTGTGTGTGCACACGTGTGTGTTGTCTGCATGTGTGTACATGTGTCCTCACAGACCTCACATGTGCTGTCTGTGAGAACACACGTGTGTGTTGTTTGCGCACACGTATGTTGTGTGCGATGTGTGCATGTGCACACGTTTGTGCATATGTGCACGTGTGTGTCATCTGTGTGTTACGTGTGTGCGCACATATGTGTGTGCACGTGTGTTATCTGCTTGTGTACACATGTGTGTTGTGCGTGCACATGTGTGTGCATTGTGTACACGTGTGTGTTGTCTGCATGTGTGTGTACGTGTGTGTTGTCTATGTGTGAGCACACGTGTGTGTTCTGTTTGTGCACACGTGATGTGTGCATGTGTATGTGTGTGTTGTGTGCATATGCACACGTGTGTTTTGTACATGTGTGTCGTCCCTGTGTGTGCGTGTGTATACGTGTGTGTTGTGTGTGCATTGTGTGCATGTATGTGTGTTGTCTGCACGTGCATGTGCACACCCCCCATCCCACAGGCCTGGAGGCCCTCGCCTACTATAAACCTCCCCACTCTGGGGGCCCTGGAGAAGGGAGCCAGTTCCCTCCAGGGACCCCCCCAGGCACAGTCAGGCTCCTGCCGCCTGAGTGCTGCAGAGGCTCGATGGAGAGTGTGCGGCAGCTCCTCATGCCGCCAGAGGGATGTGGTTGGACACCAGGAAGAACTTCCGTCCGAGAAGCCCTGGCTGCTGGAGGGCAGGCATGAGTCCTGGTAGACCCTCCGGTCTGCAGGGCTGGTCCCAGACACAGAACAGAGAGGACAGAGGCTCACACCCCCAGGATCCCCCACAGATGGCACACGCAGGCGGGTACATCCATGTCACCCCCCACCCTCCGCCCAGGCTGTGCAGACCCCAGCCATGGGCTGCAAGGTAAGTAATCAGGAGCAAAGAGCAGACCAGGAGAAAACCCACAGTGGTCCCTGTGTGTGGAAGGCCCCAAGGACATGCAGGTGCCCCGGGGGAGGGTGGGGTCCCAAGGACACTGACACCACACGATTCGTACACACGGGTCCCCCCATACCAAACATGTCCCACATTAGGGGGCAGAAGCGACCTCAGGCTGTTCCAAGATCCCCAGGTCTGGGGAGCAGCTCAGAACGTGGCTGAGCAACAGCGTGAGCCCGGAGAGTGAAGTGCGCCTCCCTGCGCCCCAGGCAGACCTGGGGCCGCCCCCTAGTGCCGCGGTGGCCACACGTGGATGCGGAGCCAGCCCTGCACACAGGCACGATGGTTTTAGGGAACGCCTGTGGAGCCTGCAGACACAGGACCTGCCACCAACAGCTGGTTCAGAAGCCAGACCGACGGCATCCCACCAGGAGGATTCCTCACCCATGTGAGCGTGGTGGGGACTTGGGTGGCCCCCAGTAAGCCTGAGAGTACGGGGTCGCAGCCTGGCTCACCAGCTAGTCCGGGTGCGGGTACAAGGTCTGTACGAAGGCACCGCCGTGACGGCTACTCGGGGACCTCATGTGGCACCGAGGGCCACGCCAGCTGCAGGGCTGGCTTGGAAATACATTTGCAAGGGTTTCTGTTTCATCCAGATGGACACCTCCACCATGTAACTGGAGTCTGTAACTGCAATACATTTGAAATAGCAAAATACCACTTCTCTGGAAGTCACTATCTTCATTCCCAGGGAGTATGCATCTGGGAGGCTCTGCTGCTGAGGCGTGGAATCGCGTGTAAGGTCGTGCACATCTGTGTCCTGGTGTGGAGCACGCCCATGGTTCTCATCTTAAAGGGGCGGTGTCCTGCCGGGGGACAGCCTGGGACAGGACTCGCAGTCCACGTCTAGAGGGGACAGCCCCTGGTGTCATGGGCTTCCTGTGTCCAGTGACACCTTGTGTTGGGTGGCAGTGGGGTGTCTGTGGCCTCTGTCTGTGAGGCTCGTGGTCTCGGTGTGGTGACTTGGATGACATTCATGCCCTGTGTGGAGTGGGGGTCAGTGCTCTGGACCGAGCTAGGACAACACAGTGCCTCTGAGACACATCGTCCCTGCGCCATGGGAGACGGTGGGGACTCAGGTCTGGGTCACGGTGTGTTGAGTGGTAGGTGCCTGAGTCGTCATTGGCCAGGTGTTTGTAGGCTGCATCGTGGGGGGCATACTCAGTATGCACTGTTGTAAACCAGCACTCCGTCCGTGCACGGGACAGGAACTCGGGCACGATGCTGGTCCAGGGTCAGGGTCCCTGCTCTGACACGGGTGGGCTGCAGGCCCGAGCCCTGCACCAGGGGCCTAGAGCCTCAGGAGGACAGTTGGTCTGTCCCCAAGCAGGTATGTCGCGGGGGGGTCAGTGTGGAGAGATGGTGTGCCCTCCACACAGCACCGGAGAGCCTGCCCCACCTTCTGCCCCAGCTGCCCGTGGGGATGGGAGCTGGGCAGGGCTCAGGGCTCCAGGACACAGTTTGGCTCCCCCATACCCCAGCCCTTTTGGTCCATCAGCACCTCCAGCACCGGCTTCTCCATTTGGCCTCAAACAGCATGTTCAGAGGCCCGAACAAAACTCCATGGAGCCATATATCTTCCCCTCGGTGAGGCAGAGCGCACGCTCTGTGCACTTGAAACTCAGGCTTTAGAAGCAAATGCAGAAACTAAGTGGCTAGGTCTTCCTGATACCAAGTTCAATTTAGTCCAAATTTAACCAGATTGAAAATTATCTAATAAGATTAAGAAAAAATCAGTTTCTGCGCAATGAGTAACTTGGTGACCTTGGTAACTTGCCACACAGGCCCCTGAATGCATTCAGGATTCTCTTGTGCTTGGAGGAGACAGGAGGCTGCAGAGCCCAGAGCCAACCACGCGCTGGTCCTGCACACCCCTGGACCAGGGGAGCCGGTGAAGACAGGGCCCTGGTGTCTAGCCGTGTCCTCCGGGGAGGCCCTCAGCCTCTGCCCCAGCTTCCTGCTCCAAGTGTGCAGGCGTCCTTCCCGACTCTCCCCATGCTGAGTCTTCCTTGAGCCCACCGGCTGCTCCCAAGCGACCGCCAACCCCACCAGGCAGACGGGATGGCTGTACCCACCCTGGTGCTGGCCTCCTGGGGTAACCACACACATTGTAAATATGTACGGCTCAGGAAATTTCAGTTCTACTTCAGTAAAGTAAACTATTTAATAGGCATTCAGCAAGAAACAAGGGAAAGGTGAGGGGGAGGGGGCCACACCGGGCCCTGCTGGGTTACTGCCTTAGCTGCCGGTGCCAGGACCAAGGACCAAGGACAGACAAGGTGAGGGTCATTGTGGACCGGAGGCGGGAAGTGCCTGGGGCCGCCCTGAGAATGGGTCACCAGTGGGAAGTGAATCAAGATAAGCCTGGGACTGTGGTCTGTCTCCTGGGCCTCAGATGTGTTGGGGTCTCCTGCTGTTGGAGCTGGGGTGCACAGCGGCCTTCCTGCCTCCTGAATGCTGGGGTCTCTGGGCCTTACAGCTTTTCCCATCTGGCCCCACACACCCTACCTGCTGATGGACCATCACCTTACGCAACTTCAGACTCAGGTCCCCTGCCCTTCTCGGCTGGGGCACAGGACAGAGCAGTCACTATGGGGATCAGGGGAGAGGAGGCGGGCAGACCCTAGAGAAACAGGGACCCTGGGTGTCAGCCAGCTCCCTGGGCCTCCTG